CTATTTACAAACACCATTAGAACAAATCATTCTATTCATTAAGAGAATGCAACTATATATCTATCCTAACCACTTTGAATACACAGATACAAAATGGACATTCATCGGTATACCCCATTTTTTTCTAAGTTCCGTTGTTGAATATTATAGGTGTGTAAACTCAGCAAAATATTCTAAAAGAGTCCAGTAGCTCATAATAGCATTGGGTCTTCTGTTTAAGTGGCAATGTCAGAAATTATTGACCTGAGTCCCCCACAGCTCAACATAACAGCATGGCTTTATTTCCTATATTTCATCTTCATACTTTTCTACTGGATGGTTAAGAGCAAGGTAAAGCAGGACCTATGCAACAAGAGTTGTAGCTTTTGGGTCAGAGAAGGTCAGTGAAATGCCCTCAGGATTTATCCTGAGATCCTGTACCTCAGATTATAGAACCTTTGTCAGTGCAGCCATGTGGATGAGTCACGGCCACTGCTTAGCCAATGTGCTCTCTGTGAAAGCCTGAGAGAGTGTGTTCTCCCCATGTGACTCTCCTTAGGCACACTCTACGTCATCGATCACTTTCCTCTTTGGCCCTATAATCTTCTTGATCAGAAAATTTGGGACACTACCGAGGTACGTGATGTTATAGTACAGGTTCTCATATGTCCTGAGTCTTAATTGACCTTAGAAGGCTAGGGCCAAAATGCTGGCTTTTAAGGAACTTTCTTTTTGGCTCAGTTGTACCTCTGAAAGCTAGCACACAGCAAAGCATTAGAGAAATATATTTGAACAGCCAGTGAATTACCATAGCACAAAAAACCCTTCACAACTTGACCCCAGGTTGCTTTTCTTGCACAATCAGTTACTTCTCCAGTAAATGAAATAGTCTAGCCCTACTACGTTGCTTTTTATTCTTCTATGGATAATGCTTTTATGGAGTATTTCATAGCTCTAAAATTTTGACTATGTTCTATCATAGAACTAACTAGGAAAATGAATTGGTCTTCCACCTGTGTACATTTTTCTTTCACTAGGCCAGCCAATATTTGGAACATACTATGTGTTCAACACAGTTTTGAGTCTGGAGATAGGAAGACTTTTGAACAGAAAGGTAAACCTGTGCTTCCTGACTTTCACATTCTAGTGTAGCAGCAGGGACAGGATCTGTTGCCTGTGAGTCCTCGAGTGGTGCAGCATCTTCATAGCCCTGGAGGTGGGAGCACTTTTAACATGGTCAAGATACAGCCTGAGTGGAAATGTAGAGAAGGGAAGGTGTAAGTGGTTCGAGGCTCCTGCCATAGAGAAGGGCAAGGAGTTTCTCTGATGTCAGTGCTCTTTCCCTCTGGTCTATCTATGATCCCCTTACTTTAACCTTGTAGTGTTCGCCCCTTCCTGCCATATGTTAGGAGTTGTAACTTACTTGCCAGAGTAGCTGCCACAATTCTTACTGTATTACAGCTTCATAGCCATGTCGAGAAGCTCTGTCCTGGTAGTAATAAAGAGCAGAGTTTATCTCAGGATTAGACTAATTATCATTTTCATAATTTTAGGTAGATTATTTAATCTCTCTGAACCTTGATAGTTGTCTTTTTCTACCATGTAAAAGAGAAAAAGTTTTAAGAGTTTCAATAACTAGAATGAAACCCTACAAAACTTTCTTTGTTGTTCCTGGTTATATCGTAAGTAGGTGGAAGAATGCCTGGCTATCATTAGTTTTGTTTTGGATGAGAGTTAATATAGCTGTGAATGGATAATGTTGTGAATGTAAAGCACATGAACAAACATCTGGTATATAGGTGCTGAATAAATAGTATTACTACTTTTTGTATTAGGAAGTCCTCAGGTCATGTTATACTGTGTTGCAAACCCTTGTCCTGATCATCTGTGTGTGGGGTCTTTCCCCTGCATTGGCACTTTCCCCCTGTGTCTCTGCAATCGTGTATTTACCTAGAAAGGAGATCTGGAGCACAGGATAGAATAGATTGTAGTGTTCAGACTCTCACTCCTGTTTTCTAGCACTGCACTCTGCTGGATCTGGGCCCTGAGAACTCATGCAGCTGCATTTCTACAACTGCACTTAGTTCTTGGTGTCTTCACCTGATACCAAGCCCACTTTGTAGTCCTTCTTGACACACAGTGCCTTCTTTCTCATATCAGGCCTCTCCAGAAGGTTGATAACTGCCAGAAGAATTGGAATTGGTTCTTTCTCTCAATGGTTTGCCTGGTGGAAGGTTGGTGCCTTTGTTGCTGCTGCAGTTTCTTGTTTTCTGCCTGCTTTTGTTCTTCAGCCTGCGGGCTGCTCCTGGCATCTGTCCTTGTGCGTCATCAATCATGAGTATGGTGATGCAGGTGGATGGCAGGGACTCTGATGCAGCAGAAGCCCTCACTGAACGTTTGTGGAAGGGTTAGGCCACTCACAGACTCAAAGTGTGTGTAGCTCTTCATAAGGTACGGATGATATAAATACCTATTAAAATTGCTTCTAATGCTGGTACAGAAGGTGTCATTTGAAGGCTCCGATGTCATCTTAACCACCTCTGTAGGATGAGCTAAGAGAAGAAGACATGCAGCCTTTGTTGGCTGACCATGGGCTGGCTCTGAGAAATGTACTGCTGAAGGTGTTTTGCCACTGTAGAAACACGCTAGCGTGTACCTCACTAAATGCTGTTATCTTGTAGGGCTAATGTTGTCTGTGTGTTCCATCTGAACTTTTGCCACCTCCTGCGTGGCTTACTAGGGCTGCTTGAACATACATGTAGGAATTCGGGGATTTCAGTTTGGGTTGGATTTGGTTGCCTTTTGATAAGTATCCAATTGCAGTTTGAATAGGAGCTTCTGTTTTGCTTTGCTAGTGTAGCAGCTCATTTATAGGAAATACTTCTAAAATATTTGTGTGAAGTATATATTGTTGAGGTAGTTTAGTACTTCTCTAGTATAGAAAACAGAAGTGATTCTTGCTGTCAAGATAATGTCAGTTGCTGCTAAATTCAGCCAGTTCTGTGGTGAGAGATTGTTGCGTGTGTTTCAGCATGAAAGTTTTATGGGAGGACTTTGTTAAGATTGAAGACAAGTACTTCAGAGTACGGAGGATTGAAACCACGAACAATACTTAAGTTGAGAATTAATTAATTAATTTATTTATTTATTTTGGCGGAACTGGGGATTGAACTCAGGCCCCTGCACTTGTCAGGCAAGCGATTATTGCACTGAGACATCTCCCCGGCCCCTAAATTGAGAATCTTAATGGAGGTGACCCTCCAAAGCTTTGGCTCTTAGTTTTGTTAATGAAATATAGCTGGTATGATGATATTCATTGTGCTGATCTGCAAAGGAAGATGAAAGACTAGGGTCCAGTGACCGAAGTCTCTGTTGGAAGTGATGTGTATTTCGTACCATTGCAGGTACTTTGGTTATCCCTGTGTTCTCTATAAAATTGAATTATCAAGAAGGAACATAAGTGAGCATAGAAAAATAACTTTTACACTTAATCTTCTGAATTATTTAAAATAGAATGCCAGGGGCTGGGGAGATGGCTCAGTAGAATAAGCTCTTCCCTGGCAAGCACAAGGACCTGAGTTCAATCCCCAGTTCTGCAAAATAAAATAAAAATGCTAAAGGCATCTATCTTTGAGTATAAAATATAGGAGATCAAGTTACTATTTCACCCATGTATATGAAACTGTTGTGCAGAAGATGTGAATATTTTCAAGACACAGCATAGAATATGAGAGTACAGTGGACTTTCTCTATGTGAAGGCAAGATGAACTGACCTGATAAATTAATTATGAGGCATTTTTAGGATTGAAACATAATCTCATTAAGTAAAAAATATATTGAAAAGTTGATTTCATGAAAAAAAAAAGCCATGTGAAATAGCTTGGAAAACTGATGTTGGTTTGATTTAATATTATTCCCCAAAATCTCGTTATTCATCAGTGATCAGAAATTTCACATTTGGTCCCATGTCTAAGCCAGCTAAGCCCAGGAAGAGCTGTTACCTAGATACCAGAGCTCCTCTGTGGGGACTGCAGTAAGGTGCTCATATAATTTCCACTTTTGTGTGTGGGATGCATAGTGATAGGGAGGGAGGAATGTAGCGTGAGTGTAGTTCAAGAGCAATGTTTGGGATCGATTTCGCTGGGTTTAGAAGAGGGCTGTACTGCCTACTAACTGTGGGTCTGTGGGCAGCCTAACTTCCTTCTCAGATGCTTTAATTTCAGGTAATAATGGCATCAACTTCCTGGATTTCTAGGAGAGTTACATGAGTATCTGTATGTATAACTCTTAGCACATGGAACTATGTAAACACGAGTTATGTTACCAAGATGATAAAAGTGATTATTTCATGCCACTATATGATTTGTCCTATACCAATGGATAATTAAAATTATTAGCTAAGCATCATTTCAATCTTTTAGGTTTGATGCCCATTTACCCAGAAGGATTAGTTTCGGTAGCTCTTTATCCAGAGGATTTCAGTGAGCTTTTACATTTCAGCACACATTTTGTGTAGTTAGTTATTAGCCTGTTAGTTATTAGCCGACTAACAGGCTATTAACTAACTACACAAAATGGTCTGGCAAATCTTTGATGTAGAATCTGAAAAAAAATTACCATTATTGGTGTGTTATTTAAAATTATTGTTGCTGTGGCAGAGATGAGCCAAAAGGAAGAGATGAAGCTTCTCTAAGAAGTCTAGGTTTCTATTTTGTGGTTCTGTCTCTTTTCCCTACAGGGTGACGCTTGTAGGTTTTGACAACCTTGCATTATCAGGCTGTAAGGGTCTGCCATGGAAGTGTCTCAGGAGCGTGACTCAGTGAATCCTGAGCCACTTCTGTGCCCTTACATCATTGTTCAATGAAGCATGGGCATGGGGGGAGGGTGCCTCATCACCTGTCGCCGGTCACGAACATTTAAGTTGACACATAATAAACAAACACCAGAAATCATTTTAGCTTAGGAAAGGAAACCTTGCTGAATATTCACTGGCTAGTTTTTTTTATTTTTTTTATTTCAGCTTTGCAGACTGACCAACTTTCAGAAGGAGGGAGAGAAAAAGACCTGGATGTGCAGTAGGAGGACAAATAGTAGACTTGGAAGTTACCCTTATTGGATGAAATTATGAGTCACTCTCATTGTGTGTATTGATAAGTTGCTGTCATTGAAGAACTGACCCTTTTCCTTGAAGCAAGTGCTATTCTGGATATTTAGCAACATTGGGATCAATTGCTGTTGTACTTTATAAGTCTTTTGAGTATGAAAACTATTAATTTGTATGCCACTATATTGCCAGGACTTATTTGGCAAGTAAGGACTACCTAAAGCTCCTTTCTCAGTCAGTGCACGGGACATTGATCAATAGCCAGCTAACAAATCCTGTAGAAAATTCTATATACATTGATAAAATTCACTTATTGGAAACAAGTAGCTTGCACATGTATGTGCACATGTGTATATGATACATATTATAGATTATCATTCTAACTTCGTATGTTATCCAAGGTGTATACCATAAATGTACAAAAAGTACAGTGGCATTACATTGATTACCCTAGAATTTTATTTACCCATTGGGAACCAATTTCCACAGCAAATGTGTTTGAAGATTATAGAAAAGGATGACTACCATTCCATGTTACTAGAACCTGTCACATATTTAAATTCTGTAGTCACTTGAGATTGTATGTGTCTGAGTTTAGTGAAATAAGTCTATCAGTATCTTGTGCCAAGGACCATATATATAATGCTGTATAATTAAAAATGATACACTTTCCCGGGTGGTTTGACTACGCCATGGTGCTCGGTGCTTGATCTGTACGCTAGGCAGGCGTAGAATCAGGAGGGCACTGTAGACAATGTAGTTACAGCACGCAGCTGAAAGTTATCTGCGCTGGTTGAAATTGTTCCATGGTTAGACTTGTTTCCCTAGCTTTGAACATTGCTATTTAGGGTACTGTATTTACAATAGTTGTGGCTGTGAATGACCCTAGAAAATCACAGGAGGGAAAATCGTATTTCCAGGGCAAACTTGATTTCTTTTTTGTAAAGTCACCATTTTTCACTTTTACACAAAGCAAAATGGACATCAACACTCAACTGGAATCATTCACAGCCAACAATGAAAAAATTTTAAAAACCATGTGAAAGGCAGTGATATTTAAATGTGTTAAATGGAACATAGACCCGACCAGGTTTTCATGATTTATCAGTTTTTAACTTCAAAGACTTTGGTTAGCTTGCATTTTTAAAACTAATGAGTTTATCACAGTCAGAGGGGAAAATGGTTCAAGTATATCAGCTGTAAATTGGTACAGAGCACTAAAGGGACATTAGCCTCTAATCAGATTCTAACAGTTCATTAAACCTGCCTTTCCAGAGCTGCTCTTTGTCTTTCTCCTCCTTCGCTTGGGCCTCCACCACACAGCCTCTCCCTCCTTGTTCTCATGGGCAAGGCCTCCTCTAGGGTGGGAAGCAGTATCAGCTCTTGCTTCAGCATCCACCAGGCAGACAGCCTGTGGAGGGCTGCGCTGGGCAGCCTCCCACACGGCCGTGGGCGCTGGGCAGGTGAGGGCCGGCTGGCTGTGGAGGCCTTGCCGACCCTGCTGGTCGGATGCCGGGCTGGCTGCTTCCAGGGGCGGAAGCAAGTGACATGTTAGGGTTTGAGGTCTGTGCCCCAACTGTGAACAACCACAGGCCTGCGTTTTCAGTTTGGAAGAAATTAACTGAGTTCCCCAGCAGTACCGCAGCTCCTTCTGCTCTAGGTAGCAGAAAGGGTGCAAAATCCCTAAAAACTAAATGGATAAATAAGAAGTCGAAAGCAAAAACTAAGGAAAAAGTGTCCCTCCAATTGGAAAATGTTATGTATTTTGAAGGACAAAAGGGCATGAATGTATTTTCTTCTTTTTGTTATCCAGTAGTCTATGGTGCATTTTTTTAATGTATTTATTAGATTATTAGAATAAACCTGCTTTTCTCATTGATTTCTTTTTTTAAAAATTTATTTTTATTTTTTATTTTTTTTTCAGAACCGGGGATTGAACTCAGGCCCCTGTGCTTACCAGGCAAGTGTTTATTCCACTGAGTCATCTCCCTGGCCCTTCTCATTGATTTCTCAGAGTGATTATTTATAAAAGGCCCCATAAGTTTTATTTCATTTTTTTAAGTAGCATGAAGAAAAGAGTAGTTTCACTATCCCGCATTCTGTTGGTATTACTTAATTAAAAACATTTAATTTATGGTACGTTGAAATAAAAGTTTTATTTAACTATTTTATGGCAAAGCAACTTTATGAAAGGCAAAAATACCAGTGTCTAGAAGGGGAGACGAAACGAATTAGGGTATGCTGTCTGAGTATCACGCCCCGTGATGAGTGGAACCACTGTGTACCCACTATGCACATGTACTAATGAAATTTTTCAATTGTTAAAAAATTAAGGTTCAGCAACTATACTTTTTGTTAAACTGTATAGAGCCTATTTAGTAACTGAACTTTTTTTCCATTTAGTAAGACCATTTTAGCACCATGTGTTACATTCTTAGTTGAGCAAAAATAACTACTCTTACAAATTTAGACACATTTCACCAATCATTTTCTTACTTTGGCCGGAACACGAGGATGGTAAAGTTGACGTTCTAAACACATTCTAAAAGGTTAGCTTGATTTGGTCGTTAAGAATCCCTGTTGTATGACTGACTGCTTTCATAGGTTACTGACTTCTGGAAATTTCTAAAGCAATGAAAAGTAGTAGAAAATAAATTTGATTTAATTTTCTTATAAATGTTGTTTGAGCTTCTCTCGAGCCACATTGTAAGGCTTTCCTTTCACGATGTAAATAAGGTGATGAGGAGAGCTAGCTCATATGCCCCTGCCTGGCAGGAGGTGATGAAATATGTGAAAAATGCGTGAGAACAGGGAAAAAGAGTAGCTATGGCTTGAAGTCTTTTTTTAAAATGAATTTAGGACAGGATCTGTAGGGTGTTCTTCAGGGTCTCACTGTGTAGATCAGACTTGTAGTGATCCTCCTGTTTTCAGCCTCCCAAGTGCTGGGATTATATAGGTGTGCACCATCATGCCCAGTCTAGAAATCATTCTTAATCTATAACTATTTGGGCTGTTTGTAAGTATATTTTGGGGGGTTTGTTTATAGAAATTTTCATCTGACCAAAATTGCCATCATATATAAATATATAAATCATATATAAAAAATTACTATATATTTTCTTGCTTTTAAGCTATTTAGACTTTGAGAAAAATAGGTAATTTTTTAAATCTAATTTTTTCTTTTATAAATGTCTATACAGAGACAACCTCTAGAACTAAGGAATCAAGAAACTTGCTCTGTAGTTTCTTCCACTGTTGAGAAACTGTGATAAATTGTTTTAGCCCCATATAAATTAATGTAAGGTTTCCACACTTCAGTTTATTACAGTCTGACCTCCAACCCAGAGGTCAAAGAATCAGACTGATTAATTCAACTTCTTGGTCATTATTTCAAATGAAAGTTCAGATTAGGGGGATAATTGGTTATGCTGATATTCACATTTAATTATACTGCCTTGCTAAAGAATTAGCTAGCAGTGCTAACGGTACCGCAGTGAAGGAAGATTCCCCAGATGTCCTCCTTTGATGCCTTACAGCTGACTCTCCCCCTCTCTTTTATTCTCAGAATACCAACACCTTTGAGAACAGAATGTTAATGCTTGATGGGATGCCGGCAGTCAGAGTCAAAACAGAGCTTTTGGAATCTGAACAAGGGGTAAGCGGTAGTCCCCAGTGATGGCTGCCTCCTTCTCTTTCTGGTCATGCCACTCATTTCTAGACCATCCTGAGGCGTACAGGACAGTTCTGTTTGTTTGCTTGCTTTCACCCCATTGCCTAAGCTTTTCCTTCAAGTAAGAATCATTTGAGAGTTTGCTTGAGTCTCATCCAGTTATAAGCTTATCTATCACTCTTTGGATAGCGTGCTAAAATGGAAGGGAGAATGACCTTGTGAGCACCACGTTGTTATAATTAAATGGGTAGATTTTTTCAAAAGCTTAACAAAAATCCAAAGAATGAAGAGGTATTAAGAAATAAAGTAAAAATATAATCTTACTGTTAAAACAGTATGGTTCATTCTAAGTATAGGTATGAGAATGTTCATGTTTATTAAATGGATTTTTCTTCTGACAATTGTATTTACCATTTTTAGCTCCATGAGGAATAGGTAATGGCTGATTCAATTTAGTTCACTTAATCTGAAGTTTGCCTAAAAGCAAGAGATAGGTTATTAACAATATATAACCAAATTGATGAATTAATTTATGCATATTTAACATAAGTACTAAGATCCTTCTTAAAGAAGCTAGGACATTTCATAGTTAAGATTTCTAGCTTCACTAACTAAAAGCATAAGGATGGTATAATTGATTATAATTGGTTGCAACATTGGCATATATATATTTTCAAAAATAGCAGTTAGAAGGTCTTCCCAGTGTCATTTTTAGAGGGATGACAGTTTTGCTATTATGTTCAGCATTGATTTTTAAGTTCTGAAATAATTCACAAAGCTCATGTCAACCAACAGAACATCTCCATAGTTCTCTGTATGGTATACTGATAGACTTCGGAAGATTCAGAGCAAGACTGAGAAGAACAACGGGTAGAATCTTGCTTTTAAATTATTTAGGCTTTGAGAATAGATAGGTAATTTTTTAATCTAATTTTATCTTTTATGAATGTTTATACAGAGACAACGTCTAGAACTAAGGAAGAAAGAAACTTGCTGTATAGTTTCTTGCACTGTTGAGAAACTGTGATAAATTGTTTTAGCCCCGCATAAATTAATGTAAGGTTTCTACACTTCAGTTTATTATAGTCTGAATATTGATTGACATGAGCTTTGCGAATTATGTCAGAACTTAAAAATCAATGCTGAACACACGAAAGAAAAGAAATGTGCTACAATTACTACATTATTTGTTCATACACAGCTTTTCAGAAAAAGCTGTACACTCACCTGGATGTCCTAGCTGGACTCATCCAGTTAAGCTCAATATATCTTTCAACTATGTAGATAGAGTGGTTTCAACCTTGAATAATTAACCTAACCACAGGGAAGGTTCATTCTATTTTTTTTTTTTTTAATTCTGATGTCTCATTTCACTTCTTAAAATGTAGATGCATGAATTTAATAAAATAAACTTTTGTATGATATATAGAGATTAAGTTTCATTCAGAGAAAATAAACTTTTTTACTGCTTATGGGCATAGGAAAAGGTAGTCTCTTCATATTTCACAGCATTGCATTTACTTCATAATACTTTCTTCAACTCAGAGAGCAATGGTGTATTTAAAGCATTCATGTTAAAGGGAGGCAATAATTACAGAAACCCTGCAGTCAAAAATTGTGGCATGAATCAATGGTCAAAGCCAGGTTAGTGCCTTTTTGTGACCTGTTTCTTGACAGTTAACAGTATCCAGAGAGTTTTCTGCTTCAGTATCTTTTTCCAGTTTTAAGGTAAGATTTGCTTGAAAGAATTCAGATGTTCATAATATGAAGACCTGGAATTATAGAGGTTTGAAAGTATGAGTAAGAACTGTGTATCACATTATGTTTAGAAAGCAGTTCTTTTGTCATTAAACAGGGACAGGAAACATTGTGGGTTCTTAAGTATTACTTCATGGCTTTTCAATAAAGCCATTTTTTTAATGAATGGAGCTGATATTGGCATTTTATCCCCAATTCAGATTGTATACTGAAGCAAAATGGAACCTTTATTTTTTTCCTTAGTTGTCTATGTAGTTCTTAAATCTGTGACAAATCCAATTTCATTTTTTATGGAAAAGCTTCAATACATGAAGTCTGAAGCATGTACTGAAACGTATTAGAATTTAACTTGATTACAGTATTAATAATTTGTAATACTTTACATATGCAACTTAAAATAAGAAAATCTAGAATTTTAGTGATTTTATTTTCGTCACTTAGGGTTTTTCATTGGAGTTGATGGGGTAGGGGTTATCCACCATAAAATTTCAGAATCTCAGAGCTGTTTTTTTTTTTTTTCTTAGTAAGGAATGCTAGACTTTTGAATGTCTTATAACTCCTTATTCAAACTAAAAGGCTGTTTGAAGTTTGATTCTTTATAAGAAGATGTAAAATGTTAGCAAAATTGAAGTAATCTCATAAGGTTTTGAAAAAGATGAGAGATGTTTTCGAACAAAAAATTACAGAAACTTTGACTGTATCTCAGCAGTGAATACAAAAACCTGAAGTTGATACATCAATAGAATCTATAATCACTCTGAAAAGCCTAGTTTAAAGATACTGCCTTTAAGACATAGACATTAAAGTTCAGGGAAGAAAAATCAGTGTTTCTTTCAGGCTGTGGGCAGCATTTTAAAGATGCCACTTTACATAGGCCTTCTGCTTCTCTTCACCATGGAAGGATATGTTTGTTCCCTCCTACATATGATAAATAGGCCTCCAGTCTTCTCCTTTCAGCAGATGTTCACGTGTCTCCTGCCCTCCTAAGAAATGCAAGACCTAATGAGCACATTGTAAGGGTTAATAGGCTGTAGACCAGATCAAGTCTTTTTGAAAAATATTGGCGTATTTCTTTTTAACTGGTTTTATGGTGTGTTTATGTGGTCATGTCTATTCAGTCAGATTGAGAGCTCTTACAGGGTTCAGCCCAGTTTTGCATTTCTCCCTTGTATCTCCTATAATTCCTGATGTATGGTAAGTGCTCAGTGAAGACAAAATTTCATTCATCTTGTCTGTGGATGATCAATGCCATAGGGGCCTGTCAGTAGTTAGCTGTAAAGCTGGTTTGTCTGCTCCCTGAAGCTATGTGAGCATATCAGTCAAGCTGGACATACCAGAAACATCCTCACTGCCCCTGCAGGTCTTGGTTCTCGGGCCAGGCAATATGGACAGGTGGTGTACCAGTTCTGAAAGCCTTCTCTTTGGAGATTTATGTCTCCTGATTTTAGTTATGAGATCACTAAGTAGATTATCACTAGTGTTTCCTGAAATGTGACTTCACTTTTCTTCAAGCTTGTCGGTGATCCAGCCCATGCTGCTAAGCAGTGTGCAGGAAGAGTATGTGCTCTTGTGATATGCTTCGGGGGCACAGCGAGGAACATTTGAGTGACTTTGTCTGTGACCTTCGGTGCTCATGCCCTGCTGTTACCAGAGCTTCCCAAATGCTCTCAGTCTTTGGATGTTCTAACATGTTATTAAGCAAAGGACTACAGCAGGAAGAAGAGTTTTGGAACTATTATACCCAGAGATAAGGCAGTATGAGAAAAAAGGACACTGCCTCAAAGACATGAAACATGATTTTATTCCTGGCCCTGAAGTTACTAGCTTGAATAACACTGGAAAGTTCCATTGGAAAGTTCCTTCGGATCTCCGGCCCCTCTGTGCTTATCCATGCAGTAGGGGTGCTGGGGAAAAGCCCTTCCCTCTCAGATTTGTGACATTCTAAGATTCTAGGAATAGGCAAAGAGAGAAAGCATTTCTAATTATGAGTGTGATGCTCATACTCATAAGTGTGTATGAGAGCAAAATTGCCTAGTCTTCTGGGTAGGACGGGCTTAGTTCAGATACTTGTGTTGCCAGCTACTGGCCATGTAGACAAGCCTTTTTCTCTGTCACTTTACTTCCCCTTGGCCGGGAAGTGGAGTTTATGGCCCAGAATTAAAGGAGAGTGCTATGTGTGGGAGGTGGAGGACAAATATGTTTTTTGAAGAAAAACAGGAAAAAGGGCTCTGTGGTTTCCATTTCTGTTTCTGCAATTTTCTTGAGGTATTGAGCAGAGATTCTAAAACGTGTTTTATCACTCTGTAATTCTACAATTTTTAAGGTAAATCTCAAAGTGAAACTTTTTATTTGATTTTTTTTTAGTGTATCTACAGAAATATTTCAAGTTCTGGTGAGATATGTGAAAAATAGAATCAAAAGGAAAATGAGAAAATAAGGACATAAAAAAGAAGATTTTCTTGTGTAGCAATAGTGTTTGGCCACATTTTCTAAGGTATGAACGTCTGAGTTCATATGCCTTTGGGATATTCTGTAGGCTATTTACAAATGGCGTGATGAAGATACCTGGGGTCTGCTATAAAATAAAACAGGAGAGGAGAATGCACAGGGACAGAGCTGAAACAGCAGCTGTGCTTCCACCATTATTGAAGCTGGGTGATGGGCAAAGAGTTTGTCATGCTCAGAATTCTTTAAAGTAAAATGTGTAAAAAGAAAATAAGCCTTGACAAGAATATGAGAAAAAATTTCCATGGGTCAACAGTTTTAAAAGAGGGATGAAAGGAGTGTTTCTTACTGGTCCCCCTCATGCCAGTTTTCAAAATTCTGTGTGTCTGCAGAGGGGAGGGCAGTCCCTGACCAACCAGTGACACACTGAGCCCCCTTACCCTGCCTTCTGTCCTGCTGACCTGCAGGTGTTAGTGTGTTAGATGGAGAGGGGGGAAGAGAATTTTGGGTGCTGCAAGTAGCCAATGGTAGGGTGGTAAAAGGCCCCTGCGTGTCACCCAAGGAGGAGAAAAGCTGAGGGCTCCTCTTGCACCTGCCCTGTAGTGAGGATAGCTGTGGAGGTTGAAGGTGACTGGTGCAGGGTCGAGGACACTCCCTTTCTTACTGTCTGGAAGTGATACAGAATTTCCTCCACACAACACTATGCCTGCCCTGCAGAATGTTCTGTGCAGTAAGCGCAAGCTGCCATAAGGAGAAAAACATCATTGCAGCTTTTGCCTTAG